GGTTGGCTGAATGCTAAGGATGATTCAAGTAGCTCTTTGAGCTCTCCTTGGATAAGCCTTGAGTCTAGTGGGTCTCGTACACAAATCACCAAGATGCCAACATTCACAGAATAGACAATGGGGACATGGGCACATGCAATTTTTCCAGGCTAAGTCCGTTCTACCCCTGGTCACTCGAAGAAGTGCTGAATTCGAAATAGAGAAAGACATTGTACTGAATTACCTTCACTTCACTCTAGTGCTCCACTCTAGATTATGAAAGTTATAAAGTCCCTCTACAAGTCCTTTGTCTTAAATATGATTAGTGATGTATCCTTTGTGGTCCTACAGATTATAACAGTGGTACTTGGCAAAACTCTCTGGGTCCACCAGTAAATAATTGTTTTGCGTTCAGATACAGAGAGCTTTGGATTATCTCCAGTCAAGAGGATTGTGTTTCACTAGAAAATCTCTCCCAGCCGTTCAGCCTGGCTCTTGAGTCTGGTTTCTGCTGTTCAGCCATTCTCTATCAGAATACAATGACATCATCACTTAAAAAGGATCCCAGTCGGCCATAGTAGGTTGGTGCCCTGATTCCATGTGAGGAGGAAGGTGGGCTGGACATTTCTGAACCTAAGTTGTCTCATGTTTTCACAACAAGTCATTAAAGTTCTATGCAATTAGATGTGTAAAGGATGGTGTATATGTGGATGTGTAGTTTAACTTTTGTGTGATTTAGAACAGAAAGCCAAGGCAGGCGTTCCCTTCCTCTGACCCTTGTGTGTGCGTGAAGACAGGGCTCTTCTAAGTCAAAGGGTTGTGAGAGGTGAACAGCTTCCACCTCCAGTCTGACGAGGCAGAGGAGCAAAAGTTTGCTGATAAACTGGGTCATTGATTAAGCCATGCGGAGATCCCAGAAACGGGGTGTGGCAGCCCTCCTGAATAAAGAGGAAAAGGCTAGTACGAGTATTACCAGGAGCTGGTTGGGCTGGGGAGACTGGTCAAGCCTTCTCACCAGAAGCAAGTGATGAGGAGATACATTTTCTCCTTTGCATTTTAACAAGCTGCCTTACTGTGGCTTCCTGTGCCTTAAGAGAGACCAACATGTACTTACTAGGGACTTCACAAAGTTTAAATGAAGATACAGGCTCTCACATCAATCTAAGAAACAACATTATAAAGCACATAATAAGACAAGTATAATATGGTCAGATTCTAAGCGGGCACATTTTTCATTATGAAAAAAGCATTTCTACAATGTGTTCAGAATCCAGTACTGTAAACATGCAAAGTATTATGATGATCATTATTCAGCACAGAACGGGGATCCTGGTCCATCCTCCCTGGAAACTCATAGAGCTGATATGAAAACTAATTAGTTCATCCTCTATAAAGAGCTTTCAACTCACTGGGAGAGAGACTGTCCAAGAGCAGATGAAGTGTTTAGGCTGTGATTAATGTGCACATGTTAATCTCTGAAAGTACAGCTCAGTACAGCTCATCCTGATTTGAAACAGGGCCAGGATGCTGAGTCCCTCTACTTCATGAGCCCTGCTGCCACAGGTATTTAATAACTCGGTGTCAGCAGGATCTTGATTTAACACCTGCCCTGAGACTGTTGCTACCACTGGGTGAAAGGAAGAGGTAATTACAGGCTGCAGTGTCCCTATGCAGACGCCCTAAAGACGGGGAAATCAATACGCTCTTGAAAAGATCTCATAACTACTTCCTTTCTTGACACAGTTAAAGCTGCCTCTTCCTTGTTTTCTGAAGCTCTTAAGGTGGACTTTTATTTCCATAAATTGCCAAATGTATGATATAAAAGACTACAAATTGATCTAAAACTTACAAAACTCAGAAATATGGCAACAATATCGGTGCACTTAACAATCACAAATATTTTCTGAGTGCCTGCTGTGTTCCAGATACTCTTCCAAACACTGGAGGTAAACAGTGAGCAAAGGCAATAGAACCCCTGTCCTCATGTAACTTACATTCTAGTGTGAGGAGGAAGCTTACACTGCTCCTTCATGCATTCTGCATTTATTTATCAAGTGGCTCCTATGGACAGGGCACTCTCCTCCAGATTGGGGAGACCAAGCTGAATTAGAAAGTGTCTTCTACCTCAGAGTAGTGGGAATTTTAAGGAAACCAACCTTTCCAGAAGAGTAAAAATTTTTTTAGTTCACAGGCTGTACAAAAATAACTGTTGGATGGCTTCAGCCTGTGAACCACGTTTTATCATAGATCCCTGATCTACAGCAGACTCTGGATCAAGGAAAGCTTCACAGAGAATGTGACACTATCCAAATTTTTTTTTTTTTTTTTTTTTTTTGAGACAGAGTCTTGCTCTGTTGCCCGGGCTGGAGTGCAGTGGCGTGATCTCGGCTCACTGCAAGCTCCACCTCCTGGATTCATGCCATTCTCCTGCCTCAGCCTCCCGAGTAGCTGGGACTACAGGCGCCCACCACCACGCCTGGTCAATTTTTTTTTTTCCGGTAGAGACGGGGTTTCACCGTGTTAGCCAGGATGGTCTCGATCTCCTGACCTTGTGATCTGCCCACCTTGGCCTCCCAAAGTGCTGGGAGTACAGGCATGAGCCACCACTCCCAGCCGACTCTATCAGAATGTTTAAACAATAAAGTGACCAGGCTAGGAAAAAAAAGTTTCATGGGTGTGGGGATTGGGAAAGACATTTCAATTTGAGGAAAAAGGCTAGTATAAAAAATGGTTGGAAACCATAGGATTTTATGTCATTCTGTAAAAAACAATTTGGTAAAAAGTTAACATTTTAGATTGTGTAGATTCTGTATGTCCTTTTCTTTTTAGAACTAAAATAACGTGTGATCATTAAGAAGAATCAGAACATACATATAAACAAAAGAACATAAAGAACCCCATTATCCTCTCCACACAGAAGAATTACTGATAACTCTTTAGTGCATATCTTTTATTTAGTTTTTTAATTTTTCTGAGACTCGCTCTGTCACCCA